ATTTATGTGACTAGGTCGAAACGTTAAGGGAAAAGATTATTTCACTGGAATTAAGTAACGCGGAAGATGAAATTGAAAGTATTACCGGGACAGGAGCCAGCGAAGGTGAAAGCGAGAGCGAAGAGATTACTGAAAAGTCTTCAGCTGTCAGCACTCCGCAAGAGAAAACTGAAACGATTATAACTACAAGTGCCACTGAGGGTGCCGCTCCTAAAATCAGTGCAAATACTGTTATAAACACGTCGAAGAAAAAGAGAAGAAAACGTTCAAAAAAAGGTCGCCATTGACCGAAGATACAAGTATTGGTGCATAAATTCAAACACAGGTATAAGGAAAATTAGTGAATATTTCCTTCTATAATGACATCTAAAAAACGTATTCCAACAAAGGAAATTTTGTGTTACACCGTCTTCACACTTCAAAGCCCTGCTGTATCGGTGCATGTAGTATTATAAATTCTTCATTGTGTATCGCTGTAACACAGCGTACACGTATACGCATAAGATATGATTTTATATCCATTGTTTTGTACAACTCGTTAGGTGCAGACGAAGCTACATTTATTTTTCACATGAGCCGTGCTATAATTTTGATATTAACGTACTGTTTTTATTACTATTAACACCATATTTTCTGTGGTCTGGTGCAGTATAACAATCGATAATCAGTTTTAATGTCTCGTATTTTATAGAGTTTGTATTTTCATAAATTGGAACTACTTGTATCTTTCTATAAATATGTCTGAACATTGGAAAATGTTACTGTTTACAAAGGAAATACACTTACCGAAATAAGCATGTAATGTCGCAAATAGTATTCTTATTATTGGTAGTATCATTATGATCATTTTGTGAAATATTTATATTAATACCATGTGATTCAATAGTTTACATTAATCTTATGTAAATTGATGCACATTCCCTTTTATAATTTTTGTTGTATTATTTGACTACAGTGAACGAGTCTCAATTTTGAACTGGTACTCTAATTTAGGCAGTGCTTTTATGTTCACAAAATGCAAGGAATACCATTGAAAAAAAATATATATATATAAAATGCAGAAGATAATATTTTTTACTACTTAATTGAAGAACATGAATTAAATTGTATAATTGGCTTCAGATAGTTGTAACATATAATATATTTAGTTAGCATCAAAATTAAATTAATAATGTGAACCACATACAGATGTTGTGGTTTGTAAAGTATTTTATTTATTTTTCTTTAGAAGTAAGTAAATTATACATATATATAAATATTATATATAATACTGTTTTAATCCACACTGAGATTCATTTTAAAAGCACATTGTATTTAATCTCATTGTTGAGTATCAACGTGGTTTAATCATTCATCTTTAGGAAGAAATATATTTAATTAAAACTATTATTCAGTTTAATATCAACGTTGCCACTTTTGTAATAAATACGACTATTAAACTTTTAAATTATTTTAAATATACTATTCATGATTTTGTTTTATGATTTTATTTGTTTTAATTTATTCATGCCAACGCTTGTTACATTTTGCCGTTGGCATATTTTATTTTACGATGCATCAACGCAGGAATGAATTTAAACGATTAAATAATTAACATTCATTTTTGCATGATATGCATTAAATAGAAACATGATTGTCAACATCAACTAGTAGTCTTTATAATTTCATACATGTCTATAAACTTTTGCCTACTTTAGGAATGCAATATATAAACTAGAATGAATAATTTGTATTACTTAAGTTCTAAAATTTTTATATACTTACCGAAGACCTTATGTATCGGAATAACATTTTGTATGAATTATATACGTTTTTTCAAATAAAGCAGACCATATTATTAAGAACGTTTAAAGTTACACATATAGCGCGTAACAAATATTTACTGAAACAAGTACATTAATTAATTGCGTTTGTAAAGTGCGATTAAGGGAGCGGGACCAATCACTACATTATTTATAACGTTATATAGGAAGAAAAATATAATCTAGGCACATTTCATTATATGTCTGTAACATGTAACTTCAGGTATTGTGTCCATGTTACGCGTGATGGATCTAACAATATTATCAAAATTATAAAAAAAAACTGGTAAAGTGCCAATATTAAGTATATCTCTATAGAAGTAATACAAACAGAGACTTATCTACTCTGTATAGAACAAGGAAATTGTCAGGTACATATAATACGACAGTTTGTAACAGTTATAGTGTTAAAAATTGTTGAATACACTCATTTTTTATGGAAATTTTATACAATATTATTAAACCACATGATTTGTTCATTGAAATGTAAAATTTTTATTATCAAAATTTTTAATGCTATAACAACCTACTCAACAATGACGTTTTGTATTGCTTTGTAAGCTTATGTTTTTTAAGCAAACCTTACAGAGGTACTTTACATCAATATTGAACATAGTAATAGTAATTAATAATGTGTATCTTTGTAGAGCTATCTAGAGCTTTGTATTGTTTCATAATTAAACACTTGAATACAAAGATAATACTATCTCCTGTAATATATGCTATACGTTTGGATAGTGTTACTTACTTTTTCGAAGATGAACTAAATAAATAAATAAATAAATAGCAAGAAATGCAAAGTATTAAAGTGCAAAATATTGGAACTATAGGATGAGAAATGATATACACGTTTATTTATCTGTGTGTTTCTATTAAGCAATATTTATAGAGTTTACACACGTGAATTTGTAAACAGAATAATGTACATTTAAGCGCAAATTTATTTTAGACAATGTATAACTGCGAAAAATCTTACAATTGATTTTTATGCTTTAAATAAGTAAGAAAGTAGATATAATTTTCAGAAGTTTTTTATACCGATCCTCATGCTACATTAAAATAAATGTAATGTAGTAATATATTTATAATGAAGGATGTATATTCCGATCTTTTATTACAAATTATAACCATCGTTCACGTTCATTTTATCTTTTTGGTGCAATGATACCTTCTAATTGAGTCTGAAAAACATTATGCTTAATATTTATCAGTATCTTAGATGAAGTGAATTATTAAGAACTCTCGTTTCATCTAATTATTACCTTTAGTTGTTGATTGGTTTTCTTAAGGAACTGTATCTCTTCTGTATGTTTCTTTTCCTCTGCTTCTCTCAACTCAGAGGATCTTTTTTGAGCTTGATCAAATTTTTGTTTCAATTCAGTAACTGTTTTTTCCAGTTCAGACTTCTGCAACCGTAATTCATCAGCAGCAGCTATTAAGTCCTCTTTTCCTTGTTCAGCCTGTAAGAAGTCTTATAAAGTCTTCACGTTTCAGAACGTTTTTCTAGGAAAATTATATACTCTCACTTGTAGAGCTTTGCGCATGCCGAAAGCAATACTGCTTTCATACAATATTTGGTATGCGGCCAATGTCATTTTAAGTTCATCTCTAATCCGAAGCAGTAGTATACCGCGTTCAGCACAGTTCACAGTCACTTGGCGTATTATTTCATCTGAAAAATACATCATCTTAACATTTCAATTGACATATAAGTATAAAAACAATCAAGGAATTATAAAACAATATAACAGTTACCAAAGCATTGCGTATAGAGCTCTCTACGAACTGGACAAAGACCTGTTTCTCTTGCTTGCCTTTGTTGCAGTTTCATGTCAAGCTGTTCTTGTAGATTAATAACATCCAATCTTGTTGCAGGTGTACTTGAAACCTGTATGAACCATTCGTATCGAAACAAATAAGTAATTAGTTACATTAAGCTGCTACTTTTATCAATAAAGTTGATTATACTCGTTGAATCCATATTTGTCCATCTTCTTCCCACTTTTTGGGTGGTAAGATCCTATTTAAAATGTCAATGGTTTCATGTCTTGTATCAAGAATCGGTGGAATACTTTGTACTTTGCAAACTGTTGCTCCAATTTTTGGTCCAGCTTCTTTAGGTATCTGTCTTGATAAACACACATAATTAAAGCTTTTCTTTTTTAGTATTATCAATATTATTCTATTTGAACCATTGAACCTTTTCTGGCCGTGTTGCATCTAAAATTGGATTGTCGTACTTCACCAAGGTATCCAAGGTAGGAATAGTACGATCTTTTATTGCTGTTGCCATTGTTCTTATGTTCACTTACGTTTTATTAAATATATTTTAATTATAATGTACGAGTTAGTATACTAGTTAGTATTAGAAGTGTCACGAACTATGAAGTAGATGTGAAAATACAGAAAGTTTAGACATTGTCATAGCAACGTTGATGTATCATCTGTTACCAAGTAATGGTGTATTGATCAAAGAAAATAAACGTGTGTACTGTAAAGTAATTTTTATTATAACAATTTAATAAAAGTATGTAAAGCCTACAACGTCGTTGGTCCTCCATACATTATCGTTTTTACACTCAATCGCATTTAAAATAGTAATACATTCTTTCAGTTAATTTTATATATATTCTTTCTAAAACAGCTAATATGTTAAGATTAATTTATAAGCAATAAAATTTGTATAAATTTGTGAAACATCACATTTGTGTAATTTAAAGTTCGGTATGTTTCTGTGTAATTCTTGCTTCAAGTTCCATATGAAGCTTTTGAACTGTTCTAGCATGTTTTTTAATATGTTGTTCTCTGGTGGAGTTATCAGGGTCGTGAGTCTGACCTTTCCGTGCAGCTTCCAAAGCAGCTTCAGTGTGTAGATGACGCAATTTAAGTAATCTTCCTTCATAATGTTGAAGTTCCTTCTACATAATACGGTAAAATATATTTTTCTTACACTTTGTATATAAGAAGAGACACAATTAGTATAAAGAAATTTCATTGCATATGTTACCTTTAAAGAAGCACGTTCTTCTGGAGAAAATGAACTTTCTAACACAATTCTCCATAACCCTTGTACTTTAGGTTCTATAAATTCTCTATGGTTGGGACCTTTGGCAGCTAATCTGTCCAATCTATCAAATCCACTTCCAATTTCCAGATGTTTCTCTCTGAAAATATATTTTTATAATTCTGTTGATTTATTAAACATAATTAAACTTAAAAAATTATTTTTGTGATATACCTAAGCAATGCTGCCTTTTGTAAACGATTCAATTTTTGTCCAGGTATATCATTAGTCACTTTTTCTTCTCCTTCTATCATATTCCAGACTTCCGGCTTGCTAACTAAACTGTCTATAAATAAATACAAAGTTATACTTTGTTATACTTTGCTATTCAAATTTGAAAATGTACAATTAAATTTCTTACTTTCATCTGCTTCCGAATCTCCAGCATCCACATCTTTCAAAAGACTCTTATATTCGTCTATTTTATCTTGGTGATGCTGGAATTCTTCCTTCAAAGTTTTTAATTCTTCAGCTAATAAACATAAATATAAGATGTACAAATCCCCATAATTCTAAGGCTTGTTCGCACATTATAAAGTATATGCATAAGACAGTTACTTACAAGTAAAACCAGCAAATTCAGCTTTAGCCCATAACTTATTTAACTTCTTGTCTTTAAATACATCTTTGGCAATATAATTACTGCCATCATTTAATGCTTTATGTTTCTTCAATAATTCAGGGTTCTCTGTATCATCAAAGTGCTCCAATATCCCATACGTGCTCATAATCCCTTCAAATGTAAAAAAAACATGTATGAGATAAAGTAATAATTTTGGGCAATTAAAATGTATTACTTTAACAATTTAATATGTATGTAATATAAAAGACAATAAATTAATTGTTTATTTCCAATTACCTATAAGCTTCTTTCTTAAACGAGCTTCTTCTTCGCCATTTGGATCTTTCCCATCAGCTTTCATATGCTTATACGCAATTTCTTCTTTGTCATGAATCTTCAAATCACTGAATATTGATTGGAGTTTGGAGTCAGTCAACCGCTATTAGAAAATATATTTTGATTTATTTTTTAATGATGCAAAAGTAATGAAGAAATGTATGATTCTGTGATACCTACGTTTTTTGCTTTAATCCATAATGTATTTAATTTTGCCATTCGGTACGGTTTATCCAAATCGCGAAGAGAGGTTAAAATATCCAGAGGATCCTCAATTTTCGGTGCATTTGCTTCGGCGGAATATTTACTAAGAGCTACACTAGCGTCAAACAATAAAATCCACGAACTTATAAATAAATAAATATTAATTATACACGCCATTGGTACTTTAAAATTCGGTGTGTCAGGAAATGAATACAAATGACGTGTTTAAATGACGTTTAACATCTAATTCGTGTAACAATAACCCTTTACATACAATGAGAAAGACAAAGGCAAAGTAACGGTGCGACAAAGACAAAAACTTATCAATTATCGGTAATTATTTTGAGGTTTAATCGTTTTCCTAATAGATGGCGCCACCAAACCTAGAAAAGGAAAGAAAACGGACGGTATGTAGGAATGAGAAGGAAAGAGATAGATGCTTTGGTGGCGCCATCTAGCGTACACGGTCGGATGCTAGTTGGAATCGAGGGGCTTTCTCATACCGACTCCGGCAGTCATTCGTGACGGTTCGAGGAGTTT